AGCTTGAGGGGGAGTTTTAGAATGTTAGAGTGATGTTCAAGCTCTTCCCAGAGGCCTTCCAGTGTTGCAAAGTATGTTGCCACGGACATGTCTCTTTGCCTTAGGGCTGCAATATCTTGGTTCAGCCTGTAGATTCTAGCATTGTTCTATTTTTGGCCGTATGTCTTGGATATTTTCTCCCAAATTTTAGTGGCTGTAGGGAAATGATGAACGGTTCTGGCCACCCGATGAGACATGGAGGCCAGCAACCAAGACATGACTGTGGCATTTTCCTTGCGCCACACGGTGTATTCAGGACTGCCAATTTTTGGTTCTTTCTTGTCTCCATCCAAATAGCCTGTGAGTTCACGAGAGGTATGAACAACCTTGCTGAGACAGACCACTCTCTGAAGTTATACTCATCCAGCAACACACTTGTAATCTGTAAGCTGTGCAGATTAGGGTTTTCCAGGTATGAGGACCTTGCGACAGGTCTGTTATCTCTAGAGGAAACTTCACCGGATAGTGAGGACATCCTGACTTCAGTCCTAGAGTTGTTCACAGTGCTGTAGGTGGTTCTGTTTAGGGCCGGCCGAAGTGGTCACAGTGTTCACAGTGATGGTAGCACACTAGATAAACTTCACTTGGACTGAACCAGTTTGGGTACAATAGCAAGTAAAAGTTCGAGGCTGCAACTGTGCAGTGTAAGTCTTTACCACTGTGCTGTGCAGGGCTAAAGTAGGGCTGGTAACCGACCTGAAAATAGGGCTATTTACCACTGTTTTGTAAGAGTCTTGCTGGAGCACTGAAGCTGCAACTGTAGAAGAGGCTAAGTCTTTACCACTGTTCTGCGCAAGTCTTGCTGGAGCACCGAAGCTGCAACTGTGGAGGAAGCTCCCCCCCTTTTAGCTAGTGCTAGGACTGCTGAAATCAGTCCTCAACTAGGTCTGCCCTATACAGACCTCTCTTAGTAGCCAAATAGCTACTACTTACTGGAAACAACCTAGTAGGRCATCTACTTCTGGGTCTTACTTCCCTTGAGTCCTACAACCAAGAGAAACCCTAGGTTCGAACTTGCTTTACTCTCTTACACCCCTAGGTCTTTACTGTAGCAACCCAGAAAAGGAAGAGAGAAGATGAAAAGACAGCAAGAGAAGAGAGTGCACCTGATGAAACCCTAGGTTCGAACTTGCTCTGATACCATGTAATCTTAGGAGCTGTACTCGAAGTAGCAAAGGAGAGAAGAGAAACTCTGAAATGCAGTGAATGTTGAACTGTACTAGTCAGTCGACCATGCTATTAGTGATATGAATGTAGTACAAAGTACAAGAAATTACTGGGATGCCCCTGATTAGTGATGGGACACTCAGATGACTTAAATCATTAAACAGGATTAGGCCCATTCATACAGGTCCAGTTACAAGATAAGTTAAACATAAGTATGGGCTAATAAGAACTCTTATCAGCTGAACATCACTCTAACATTCTAACACATGGGATGGAAGACAATGGTTGGGATCTTGGAATCATGGCAAGGGCTACAACTGCTTCTCCTTGGAAATCCATTCACAATCTGCTTTCTGTCTTCTCCCCTTGGATAAGGTATGGTCTAAACTCTAGTAACCGAATAAAATTCTGGGAACAACTTTGGGTTGGGGATTCTCCTCTGAAGGACCAATTTCCTTCCTTGTATGCTCTATCGGATTTGAAAAACGAACCTATCTCTTCTTTCTTGGTTCCTTCAGACTCCACTTTTGGCTTTGGGTGGAACCTAGGCCTGTGTAGGGCAATTAGATACGGACTTGGATAGCTTGGTATCTTTGCTTGCCTCCCTTGAGAATGTTTTCCTAAATCCTGCTAAGGAAGACACTAGATTTTGGACTCCTAGCTCTGGTACTTTTTCTTGTGCTTCGTTTTTTGAAACCTTAACTCAGCCTCCTGTCCCCGTTGGGTTGTCCTTTCCGGCTAAAGAAATTTGGAGCAGGCCTATTCCTCCTCAGGTTGGCTTTTTTTGTTGGGAAATTTTCTTGGAAAGAATTAAGACCCAACTATTGTCTACTTCCTAATAGATGTACTCTTTGTAAAGCTGATGGGGAATCCGACTACCACCTCATGGTCTCTTGTAAGGTTGCTAAAACTATTTAGGAGTGGGTTTTCTCTCGCTTTGGATGTTCTTGGTTTCCTCCGAAGAGTGTCCAAAGGTTGTTCTCTCCTTTTTTCAGATGGCCTAAGAAGCGAGGGAAGACTATGTAGAGGAGTGTTAGGGCAGCAGTGTGCTGGTCATTGTGGGAAGAAAGAAATTCACGTATTTTTTTAGACAAGGAAAGAACCCTGGAAGAACTGTTAGACCTAATCCTTTTAAGGGCTGCCCACTGGCTGAAATCTTTGGAGTTGTTTTCAGACTTTCCTGTGGATGACTTGCTAAGAAACTGGAAAGAGATTGCTTCCACTGCTAGATGCAAGAGGACTCTTTGTCCCTCTTGGTCTCCTCCCCCTCGGGTTTCATTAAGTTGAACTTTGATGGCAGCAGTGTAAGGAATCCAGGACCCTTTGGGATTGGAGGAGTTTTCAGGAATGAGAAAGGGGTTGTTAGTGCTCTATTTTCTGGCCCTATTGGAGAAGGTGACTCTCTTAGGGCTGAGATCCTTGCAGCACTTGAAGGAATTCGAAGAGCAAAGGAATTAAATGTCAGCTGATTGATCCTGGAAGGTGATTTGAAGGTGGTGGTTAACTGGTTGAAGAAAGAGGGCAGTGGTTTGTGGAACTTTAACACTGAAAAGAAACAGTTCTTATGGATGTGTAGGGACATTGAGATCCAATACAACTGGGTGAAAAGGAGTGCCGACTCATTTGCGGATGGGTTGGCCAAGCAAGGGGTGAATAGGGAGCCTGTATTTTGGGCTAGTTTTTAAATTTTTTCTCTTTGTATTCTCTTTGTATTCTGTATTTGGGGAGCTAATATCTTCCTCTTGTATGCATACTCTCTCTTTTCTCTTAATTTAATGAAGCTGGTGTTATTGATAAAAAAAAAAGTGTAAAACAGTGTAGTTGAATTGTTGCCTGGTTTTTGGCTAGGCAACTGACTAGGCATCGGGAGGCTTATGTATCACCTATATGATCAATTAGGCAGGTGGTACCAATATAAACAATTTAGGGGGAGCAAATAAGTAACTATGCACTGTTTTATATGTTGATACAAGTATGTATTACCCACTTTCAGTGTATATGAGTGTGGTTTTGTGTTAATTAGGGCTCTTTATTCCTCTTTGCATCTAACATGTAGTTAAATACTAATTTATTATTGTATGCACACATTGTAGAATATAAACATTTATTATTTATTATTTTTGTTGTCTAGACGAGGCCTAATTATTTGCCTGGATGTTGACTTGCCTTGCCTGGCCAAATCACCTAAGAGGCACCTGCCCACTTTAATTGCAATTTGGGAACTACAATATGCAAGTGGAGGTTGCCAATTTGTTTAAAGGATTAAGGTGTTTTGGGATAGTTCCTTTCCTCCTTTGATGTTGCAGGGCATTAATTTAATATAATTAATGGGGGTATTCTGAGGAATGAGAGTGGGCAGATTGTTTTGCTTTACTCGGGTCCTTTAGGATTCGGAGACTCTATTAGGGCAGAGCTATCTGCTGCTGTATAAGGGGTGCAATTTGCAAACTAGTTGGGGGTAGAGCATTTGATAAGTGAAGGGGACTCCAAGGTGGTGGTGGGCTGGTTGAAAAACCCTGAGGATGCTATATGGTGCTACAAGAATGTAATGAAGAAATTTAATTGGTTGACAAGGAACATGTTGGTTTCTATACAGTGGGTGGGGAGATCAGTAAATGCTTTGGCTGATGTGTTAGCCAAGGAAGGGGTAAATAGGGAAGAACATTTTTGGGCTCAGCTGTGATTTTTGTAATTTATTCCTAGATTACTTGAAGCTTCTAGGAGGGGCTGCAGCTTGTGCCTCTCCGTGGGATATTGTATGAAGTCACAACTCTAAATCAGTTACTTAATTAATAAAATTACACTATTACTCATAAAAAAAATTTAATATAATTTCTTGGGCATCCAGAAAGATGTGGTCCATGGCAACTGTCCGTTGGCTAAAACATCATTGTCATTCCCTGATTGTAGGGATTTGTTTTCATGTCTTGGGAAGTGTAATGTTGTTAATTGTTCAATATGTTACACATACATGTCAAGGGTGTAGCATGGCCAAAGTGTGACATCGAATGTATACTAAAAATTGAGGTATCTTACATGGATATGGGCTATGCCCTTGAAGGGGAAAATTATTTAAATAGATCAATGAATCTTCTTCTTTTTTTACTTTTATTATTTGATCATATCACTGTTGGCCTCCACATATATGTCAAGGGTGTAGCATGGCCCTTGAAGTGTAATGTTGTCAATTGTTCAATATGTTACACATGCATGTCAAGGGTGTAGCATGGTCAAAGTGTGACATGGAATTCACCTGTTCAGTCTTGATCAAGAAATGATTCCTGTCTCTAATGTGAGCAAATCCTCTGTGCTCCATTATACCTCAAATACTCCCAAGCTTTTGATATTTTGATCAGATAATAGATGACCCATCCTCTTTCTTCTACTATATATTTCTATTGATTTAAAATTGACTTTTATATATCTATATAGGGTAAATGTAATCTTTTCCTTAAACCTTAGCATTGTCAGGTGATTATTCCTTGATTAAGTATTGGTTTTACTTGATCAAATTACTTAGGTGATATTTTTGTTAGACCAGTTCTACCCTGTAACTTTACTTTCTTAGTTGTTGACTTGTGTATGGTTACAGTTGTGCTACTTCTCTGATATTTGTGTATATTGCTAAGTATTATTTCTGTGTTTTCCCTTCTTCAAACATTTTCATTTTCCTGTTTACAGGTTAAATAAGGAGCCACCTAATTTGACCTTTAGGAAGAAAGATAAGGGTGGGATTAATTTCACATCAACAGTGGCAAACACACACTTAGACCTTGAAACGGTGAAGGCAATATGTGGTGAATACAGAATTCACAATGCTGATATCACTCTTAGGTATGATGCAACTGCTGATGACCTCATAGATGTTATTGAGGGTAGTAGAATATATATGCCCTGCATCTATGTTGTGAACAAAATTGACCAGATAACACTTGAAGAGCTGGAGATTCTGGACAAACTTCCTCACTACTGTCCAATCAGGTAATTATGTAATTGATTACCTCTTTGGTATTTTAATCTCTAATTGTATCTGTAGCTTTGTCAACTATCTTACAATGTTGTTCAATGCAAAAAGGTGTAGTTAGTTTTTGAGTTTTTTTTTTTTTTGCTTAGTAATGGTTAACTTTGAACATTTAAAGTTAACTATTCCTGTATCTGTTGCAGCAGAGTTTGCCCGAGGTGCAAGGCACAAGGCAAGGCATGCGCCTTTTTGAAGCAAGGTGCAAAAATGCAAAATAAAAAGCTAAAAAATTCAGAAAATGAGAAAAGCAAAAAAATTCAAAAAAATGCACAATATTAAACGCACTATTAATTAAAAATATAAAATTAAATTTTATAATACATGTTTTAAAAAACTTGTTATCTCAAATTAAAATACATAAACATAACATGTAAAAACATAATTAAAATGAAAATTTAAAAATGAAATCAAGCATAACATATAAAACATATTCAAGCAGGTAAATTCTTAATCTCTTTATTTTTTTCCCAATTGCATTAGTTCAAATAGATAATGTGATGTTAAACATTATGCATTCCTGATTCTTCTAGCCGCCTTTGTACCAAGCCCCTCGAGGCAAGCCAAAACAAGTCCATATTAGGGTCTTAAATTCTTAATCCCTATGAAAAAAAAGATTTTATAACTTTTAAAAATATCTTTTATTAGGATGAGTGAATGAGCAACATTAGCAAGCAAATATGGGGTCATTTGCCTTGAGGGGCTTCGTCGGGTGTCCGGGGGGTGAATTCCACGACCCATCTGCTAAGCAAAAAAAAAAAAAAAAAAAAACGAAAAGAAACCAGAAAAAATGCACAAATTTTTAGAAGGCATGCGCACCAGGCGCACCAGGCGCTTGGGACCTAGGCGAGGTGCATATCCTAATGTGCACCACCCGTGCACCTAGGTGTGCCTTTAAAATCACTGCATAAAACACTAATCAATCAAGATCTCATATGAATTTGAAAGAAAATACCGACTGACTGCTTATCAGCTTGTTAGGTACCATGCCTTTTCGTCACCTTAACAGGACTTAACTCTAGAATAGGAAATCCTATGATCTATCACAGATTCATTAGTTAAATTGGTTTTCATTTATTCAGTTCTTGTATAAAGCATGTCATCTCAGGCATTTCAGATGGGAACTGAGTAAGCTTTCTCTAATAGCTCCATAATCTAGTTGAATGGGCAAGTTCTGATATATTTCAGTTTTAGATCACGGGTAAAGGGATGAATTTGAATTTCTTTTCTGTTTACCTCTTTGGTTTTTGCTTGAAGCTCAAATAAATCACCTGCAACTTTGAAAGATAGTTCCTTTCTGTCATGCATCATCCAGCACTAAAAAGATGAGAACTGGTTCCAGGCCATCCCCTTCACCCTCTCTCGTCCTCCTCCCCTAATAACCACTCCTTGGGAGCCTTCCCCTTTTAAGTCTGGGACGAGATTGAAAGTAGTTCAGGCCCTAATAAACTTTGTTCACTAAAAGTGTAACCTTCATCTCCATCAGCAGCTGACACTCCATAGAATTAAGAATCTGCATTATTACTGGTTCAAATATATTGGTTAATAGAAATTATCAATATATATATATATATATATATTGGTTAATAGAAATGTATGTGAAGTGCCTTTTCTTTTTCCCCATTTTTAATAAAATTTTGGTTCTGTTACAACAGCAATACTATATTCTTGTTGCCAGTGAAAATTTGGAAAATTTACCCCATGAACCACGTATAGACAGTAAATTCAGGATGCTTAATATGGGTACCTTGATGCTTGAAACAAATATTTTTCTTATGACAAGGCATATAAGATGGGTTCAAACATCTTAGGAATGAGACAGAAAATTTGGTTTTCTTTTACTCGGGTCCTCTAGGAGTTGGGGGCTCTACTAGAGCGGAATTACTAGCTTCCCTTCAAGGTATACAGTTTGCAGTTTCAGCTAGGTGTGGAACAGCTGTTAATTGAAGGGGACTCCAAGGTGGTAGTGGGTTGGCTACAGAACCTAGAGTCTGATAGTGTGGTGGTTTTAAATTGAAGTTAAAAAATTCAAGTGGCTGGCAAGGAGTTTGTTTGTAAGAATACAATGGGTGGGGAGACCAGTAAGGGTCAGTTTAAAGAGTACAAATGCAAACATGTACCATGCAAATACATACAAAATATAAGGTTTTGCACTCACATATTTGTATTTGTACTCCTTCCAAACTGAGCCTAAGCTGATTGTCTAGCCAAGCAAGGGTTAATTAGGGAACAGTTGTTTGGGGCACATTCGTAGTTTGATTTTGTCTTATGTTTTGTTGGGTGAGGATGCAGCTCATGCCTCTCCATGAGATGCTTGTATCTGTATTTTTCCTTGATCAAATCAAACAATTTATTTATCAAAAAAAGATGGGTTCAAACATATTGTCTCCACTTTACCATGATTAATCTGTGTTCTCATGGCATGACCTAAAAGGAGTGAGGTTGTAGGATTCTTGGTGTCTGAAAATCATTAGCTACACCATTAAAAAAACTTGTAGGCAACACCATTCTAGAAGTGAAGATTCTGACGCCAAATTTTTACTGTCTGACATTTGACTTTCTATTGTTGAGAATTACCTTTTCTTTTTCATTTGCTATCCAACCAAACAGGATTAGCTGACTATGGTTTTTCAGTGTGTCCAACTTCTGCATGATGAACCTTTCTACTTAATGCATCTTTTTGATGTTGTTGTAGTGCTCACCTGGAATGGAACCTTGATGGACTTCTGGAGAAGATATGGGAGTATCTAGACTTAACTCGCATATACACAAAGCCCAAGGGTATGAATCCGGACTATGAAGACCCAGTAATCCTGTCCTCCAAGAGGAGGACTGTTGAGGACTTCTGCAACAGAATACACAAAGACATGCTTAAACAATTCAAGTAGTGAGTATTTCCTTCTCTTGCCTTTCCATTGTTTCATGTTTTTTGTAAGTGGAATTAGAACCATGAAGAAATACAAGCTGTTTTTGAAATTACTCTGCACAAGTGGTGCTCATGCAGATGAAAATCAAAATTTGATAGGTCCCATCAAAGAAATTCTAGAAACATATCTACAGTTTGTCTATATATCCCTTTTCTGATTTGTTATATTATATTTATTCATTTATTTGTTGAAAGAGTGTAGTACTCCCTCCCTCCATCCACCCCCCCCCCCCCAAAAAAAAAAAAAAAAAAAAGAAAGAAAAAAAAACTAATGCAAAATCAGGTAGGATCACCAGAGAACCCAATTATGGTATTGGGAATCAGCCAATCAGGTAACTGAGGTTAGAAATGTGGGTTCCAATCCCTTTTTTTGAGAAAAAGGTAAAGTAATATATTAGACAAAAGCATGAACCAAATCTGCACAACAAGGAGCTGTGCAGTGCCTAATCAAAAGCTGTACATCAACTAAAAGATTACTCAATCAGTATGCATAGATACAAAAAGAGCTCCAGCATTACAAAAGGAGCTATAAGGTCTATTCCTGAACAGATTATGAGGCTCTACCCATGAATACATCCTACCCCAAAAACCTTTACATAAATTACCCTCTGAAACATACACATTTCAAACATTCTTTTGTTTCTTTCTGTCCATATTGTCCAGATCACTAAAGCTGGACCTGCTCTCCAAATTACCTTGCCTTCTTTTGAGAGCCCCTCAGATGCCTACTCTGAAGTACTGCTAGCACATTTTCTGGGAAACAAAGCTGAGCTTCAGCAGCCCCAAATACTTTGTCCGGAGGAGGCGAGCAACTCTGCAATGGATTAGTAAATGTTCCAAGTCCTCAGATGCTTCCCCACACATAACGTATTTGCTAGGCAACACACTCATCCCTCTTCTGGCCAAAACCTCCGCTATTGCCACCCATAATAAAAAAGCAGCTTTTGGAGGGGCTGCGGATTTCCATACAACAGCTTCTGGGAAATCCACTACCTCCACCTCCGTGAGTTTGTTATAGAAGGATCTCACTGTGAAAAATCCTTCTTTATCCCACTTTCAAATTCTCCTATCTCTGCCTGTGGAGCCAGGAGTTATACCAGATAGCTGCAGCATCAATTCCATCCACTGCTCAACCTCCCAGTCAGTTAAATTCCTTCTGAACACTGGACGCCAAACTGCAGTATCTCCTACCCGAGCAAAAGCCTCTGCAACCATGCACATTCATGAAATGTGGGTTCCAATCTCGTGCACATTCATGATTGACGACACTGGTCGGAAAGATATCTTCTTCCTATTTCCGTATTTAGTATATTTTTTAGCTTTTGTCATTTTTTAATTACCCTTTGCTAACTTGTGGTGATCAAAATGGTCAGCGCATTGGTTTGGGGGTCAAGCGTGAAGCACAAGCCACAGAGAGTGGGCAAGGTCGGTTATCTATAATCTTTGATAGAATTTTACATTCTACATTTCAGGTTTCTTTGTTTTTTATTCCTTGCATTATGTGCATGGATTTTCCTTTACTAATGGATTTTTTGTTTGATACTCTTACTAGGAGCATGAGCTTGATGACGAGGATGTGGTTCAGATTATTAAAAAAGTGTGATTGAGGTATATAGAAGCCATAAGCATCCTACAGAAGGTGTCTCTGTATCACACATTACGGAGGAAGATGTTTCTGACATAATGTAGTCATATAGCTGCTGAGGTAACGAGTTGTGTGGTTACACATGTGTACGCAAGTAATAGATAGCCTCAGGCCATACATATGTGTAATCATAGGCTATAATGTATTTATTCACCTGTTTGATTAGTTGGTTACTGGCAGATTGTTATTTTTTGTGTGGTGTATTACTGGGTAAGTGGGTAGACATTAATCCTCAGTTTTCCGTTTCGAACAAAGAGAAAGATGGTAAAAATTTACAGGCGCTCAGAACTTGCTTTCTAGGCATTCTGCTAATTCCAACTCGGTCCAGATTGGGCCGGGTTGAGTTTACTTGGCTCAATTCAATGTATTAAAAGTTTAAAACCTCAAGGTCCTCAACCCTGACTTAGTGAATCATGATTCCAAGGTATTTGTCAACGTGTTCTTTCTGATCCACTGGCCTAAATTTAATTTTGTTTTTTAAGTATTACTATTACACGTGATTAGTTAGTTGAATCGAGTTTGAGTTTTGCAATACCTAGTTTGAGTGGCTTGTGAGCTTAATCGATTTTATAATAAAATATTAATTTTAATATATTTTTATTTATAATATAAATAAATATTAATTTCTTGATATTAATTATTTATAATTTTTAATATATAATTGAGGCTTATAATATATTCTTATTTATAATATTGTTAGTATTAATTTATTTATAATTGGCTCTGGTCGAATTTCAAGCTAGCCCAAATACTTGAGCTTGACTCTTCTAGATTACAGCCCTGAGCCCAGACGGTAAGATACACGTGAGGCCCAGCGGCTACACCATGTAGATACACGTGAACCATTGAAAAATAATGGAAGAATTAAAATGTATGTGTATATAATATATTAATATTTATTCTTTAATATATTTTAGAAGCCATTTATTAGTTGGTATTTATTATATATATAGACTTAGATAATATTTATCATGTATAAGTTAATATATATAGATATAGATATACCTTATTTTTTAATAAATAAATATAATCGATACTAATCTTATTATTATAATATTTTTACAATCAAATTTTAGTATTTGTTGGGAAACATCCACCAAAGCAAGAAAGATTACTTTATGTATAAAAAAAATGTTATTGTTATGATAAGTAATTAAATTTGGCAACTTGGCATGGTGGTTAATTAATTGTTATCATAAGCAAATAACTAGTTATTTGATTTAAATAACATTTAATGTTGTATTAAATGCTTTGATTAAAGGTAACTCAAATGAGCATTTAATTAAATAATATTAGCATTTAATGACGTTTCAAACATAAAGGTTTAATTAAAATTGAAATAAATGAGAGAGAAGAATTAAATTTAAATTTGAATTGAAAAAATAGAGGAAATTAAAGTTGGCTGATACATAATGAGTATCGGCTTGTTTCGGGACTGTATCAGCCGATGCATACCCGAAATAGTCTGATATGAGTCCAATATGGATGGAAAACTTTGAAACTATATAATTGAATATATTTTGATCAGCCGATATATTGTGAAATTTTAAACCTTCATCTATAAATACCTGACCTAGTGATATCAATGTAAAAGGTTTATATTGTTTTTATGAGAGATAAATTTCCCTCGATTATCAATGTAAAACTCAACTTGCAAGGAGTTTTACATAAACTAGATAAACTAGACTGAAGTGTAAAACTCATCTGGTCAGGTATTTACACTGCAAACAAACGCTGCCTAAGGTGTTTGCAATGCACAGCTGCATGTGGTGCGAATTTGGTGTAAGGCTTGCTCTGTGTGGAGCACATCCCAATTTAGCAATATGCAGGTTCGGTCCCACATCGAGGGACGCCTTGTGAAATGAGACCAATTCAACTGCGTACGAGTCCTTTGGCAATTTTGGGGTGACTTTGACAAATGTAGGATGGCTGTAATCTTTTATGACCTGAACATGTCTAAGAAGGTTGAAAACTCTTGCCATCTCAGGCGACATTTCAAGTTTCAAAACTCGCACCTAACTCGACCCCAACCAAGGCGAACGCTTCAGTCACCTGAACCGAGAAAGAAGCAGTAAACCTTCGACAGACGAGCCATCCTGACTGCTCCAGAGGAATGAGGAATCCTGCAACACCATTCCACACCCAGAGCCAGACCCACCTAAAGATTCTACTCCAATAACGAGTTAACCCTCGGTCATCCTTCCAAGTTCCAACTAATGAATTGAACTAATACCAGCAACTTTTCAACTCAAGAGTCAAGATAGCTCTTTTTTTAGTGTCATCGTTACATAACGATTAATGAATACTAAAAGTTATTATTTAATAATGCTTATGTTATGTATAAGGAGATTAAAAAAAAATGTATTTCTTCAACTTGAGAACCATCTGCCTTGCAATCAAGAATTAGATTTTTATTGATTTATAATTTATTAGTTCAATTTCAGCTTCTTCAAACGTTTTAGGTTTTTCACCAAATATAACTTTTGGGCTTTTGTGTGTAATGCCTATCTTAGAAAACCAGAAGCCACTGAATGAAAACCCTCCCAAAGCACTTTTTTTATTTTGCCTCAATTGTCCTGAAAGAGACTTATACTTTAACTTTGATAAGGCCTGACAAACTATTGAAATCGTTGTCTGTCATCATCATCAACATCCAAGTCTCATCTCAATTATATGAGGTCGATTATATATTTTGCTGTTTTGATCTGTTTAATGCCGTATTTATTCCTTGTTAAAATATGAAAATTTAAGTTGTGTTTGATTTGAAATAAAAGAACGGAAAAACCGTACAGCCTTATTTGATTTCTCGCCAAATGAGGAATATCTCGTTGATATGTTAACTGGTTTGTTCCAGGAGAAATGGGAATTCAAATCCCACTATTATCATTTTTCTTTTTTCTATTCATTTTGGTGATTCCGACATAGGATAATGGGAATCACAATTTTGACTATCATAAGGTGTCAAAATGCTTCTCAACTCCCATTTTCACGTGGTATGTATAAACCGATTTTACAATATTGATTTTGGTTTTGTAATTTATTCAACACTGTGTTGAGTTGAGAAGCATAAGTTCAGGTGCCTGTGTCAACATATTGATTCAAACGATCACAAAAATCCAAGGCAACTGTTGTGATTATGATTTTTGTGAATGAAGAGATGCCCCCCAAAACCAGCAATCGCCTTAAATGGTGTTTTCCATACTTTTCTTTCTAATTCACATCCACCCATCACTCAATTTGTACTACATCTAGATCCAATACAATACATCGCCTAGGTTTTTGTTTAGTGGGCGATTGTTGGGAATACCAATTTTATGTTTCAAAAATGGGTTGGAGGATTTTGCAGCAACACCTCCTCTCATGGACTAAATTAAGAAGTTCTGCTTGTTTGCATTGCAAATCTGAACTAGATACAGGTTTTGCACCTGCTGGTTCATTTTCCTATTTATTTATGGTTTACTATGATTTGCATTCTTATCTGATGCAAGATTTATAATTTTGTTTCATTTGTACACTTAAGTTCAAATTTTACATAACTGATGCAAATAAATTTGTAAGACTTACTTTTTATCTGTATTTTTTTTCATATATATATATCCTAAAAGCATATCTACACGAGAAGCGTGTGGGTCAAGTGTATGCTTAACGTTGCTGAGCGCGCGAGGGCCAGCCACTTTTAACCGAACGTTTATCGCTGCTCACGACGCTTTTAACCGGGCACTGGCACCCGATGCTGAGAGACGATTTTAACCGCAGGTCTCAAGTTGTTGAGGCATGCTTTTAACTGGGCGTTGATACGGTTTTAACAGAGCGTCTCGAGTGAGGCACGATTTTTTAATCGGATGCACCGGGCGTAACGCCTATCCAAATAAATAATCAATATTTATGTTTAATAATTCCAATTAAAAATTAAAATAAATAATAATATATTAATTCTATACTTACATTAAAAGTACAAAAAAAAAGTATTTCTATCAAAAGATGATTTTAATCTCAAAAAATTTATACAAATAAAATATTAATAGTAGAATAATTACCTTACTACTTAAAATTTATAAATGTGCACATGATATATATCTTACAAATTTTATATATTTTTATAATTATTAATTAATATTTTGATTTACATTAGATGACAACATATTTATTATTTACAAAAAATAAAAACTTGTTTGCAAAATATTCAAAAATATAATATTAAATTGAATTTATCAAATCTATTAATCTACATTTATATGAAAATTTTATTTTTAATTAAAAAAATTTCAATAATTAAAAATTATGAATTTGCATATGATATATATCTTAGAAATTTTGACCAATTTTATATATTTTAAGTTAAAATTATATATTTTTGTAAATTATTAAATGATACTTTAATTTATATTTGAGAATTTAATATTTGGTTAACTTTTTTGTTAATGTTAAAATGTAAAAATAATAAAATAGAAAATAATTGATTTAATAATTACGATAAATATAATAAGTCAATATTGGACCCTTAATTAATGCATTGTATGATATATTTTTATGTACACTTTCTTATATATTTAAACATTATTTAGGGGCGGAGCTAGGATTTTTTATTGAGGGGGCCAAAACCTAGAAAACATGGATAAGGGGAGCCAAAAGATAGGAAACATGAGTAAAGGGGCTAAAATACAAGTGGAACTTAAATAGATTTAAAAGGAATTTTGAAGTCATAGGGGGGGCCATGGCTCCCCTCCGCCACCCCCTGGCTCCGCCACTGTTTGACTATAAATTTAGTGTTATTAGTGTATTTATGAAATTTATATATGTTTTTCTATTGTATTCAAGTTTTTCATATATTTTGTCTTTATTCATATGTGATGATGCACGATCCGGTTGGTCTTAGCTGTCGGTAACCTTGCCTCTGACGGAGTTGAAGATGCCTGAAACAAGGAAGAAGTTGGAGATTTCCGGGGAGGAACCCGGTGGGAATACTCCGAAGCTCAAGTTAATACTCTTGAGAAGGCAAGGGAAAATAAGAGATTTCAAGACCATAAAGCACAAATATCACATACCTCTTTCTCCGGGGGAAGAAGGTCTTTTATAACCACCTGGTGCACTCACTCACAAGTTTCTGCCAAGTTAGGTATAACCGCCTCTGTAGGGGGCAGACATAACCGCCATTGTCCTCTCTGTTAGGTGTTAGACAGTTTTGTATGCCCTTAGCTTCAATCATTTTGATGTACTTTTGTTATCTAGTGGAAATAAATAAAGTGCATGTTTGATTCATGTTGTTTGGTTTAATTCTGTGTAAAACCCTAAAACTGGACATTTGTAGAGACTCATGTTAGTTTTAAATGTTCACAGCCGTTGGATAAGTCTGGGGAGATTTATCCTTCCAAGGCTGAT